ATTGTGGTCCACGAAGCGGAGCCCCTAAACCAAACTGTAAGATTTTTGGGCTGGGGCTGGTACAATTTCTTTGCCGACGCCGGATCCGCCACAGAAACGAGTTTTACATAAGATTTTAAAATTATAGTTATTGTGCACATCTGTCTACTGAAAAGGGATTAAATGACAAATAATAAATGAAGAAAAAGATTGGTAATGTTATGACAACATGTATTTGATGCCTAATTAAAATTAACGAAAATCGCATAACATCATGATGTTGAAGTTAATGAGGATGATGATATTGTTGTTAATGATTATTACCGTACTCACCATTATTGAAACAAATAAAATAGGCCTATACATAAATATTTCCGTTATTACAAATTGATACGGTACATCAACTAAGTTGTTTTTGCCAATCATGTAAAACGGCGATCCTTTTCAAATAATTATTGGCATTTGTAAATATTGAGACGATTGCGAAATTACGCATCTTGGCTGCTTGACGAAACACCCACCAAATCATCAGAACCATTAAAAAATTTTAATAATATGCATAAATCGACAGGGTGGACTGTATTCAAAACACCTAGTAGCTATCTGATGAACGGTAAGGTGATTAGAAAACGCAATGATATCCAGGGAGACAGGTATATCGATGGGTCGTAATTCTCTGTAGGCTGAGCGTAGGACGAAAATAATATTTGTTTCACCAGGGAATTCCAGGGCCTCAATATCAGCTCGTAAAAATATATATTATTGCTTAGAATCGAAATGGGTAAAAATGAATTCCTTTATTTTCCTCGAGTTTATTTATAGATGTTATTACAAACATAGAAGTATAAACGTACCGTATATTTTTCTATAGGGCCTATATAATATATGGCCTATTATATTTTTCATTATTATATAATGTATATTATTTTTAAATCTGCTTTTTTCGTCTATTATTAGCACAGTGGGCCTATTACTTAGATAATTAAAATCCGTATTTATAATTGATAACCGGTTGCTATTGGATAATAACATGAAAATAAACATATTGTAAACATAAACAAGAAATATAGGTGCAATTGATTTTATTTTTGATAGCGTTAGTTTAACCATCCAACTAACTCGCCATAACTACCTATCGGGAGCATACACCATTCTGAAAAGCCTTTTGTTTTTTTAAATACTTTACAATTACGGTAGCATTTCGACACCCACGTCGTAACCGCCACGCACGCACTGAAGACATGGTTTAACTAATTTATAGGCCTACTACGGATAAAGAAGGAACAAATTAGGCTTCAGTGCCTCTGTATTCTCCAATAGAGGTAGCTCTGTCAAAATGAAAAAGCTTCCGCAGCTCAGCAAACATTATACATAGACTTCTTACCCTAAATGGCCTACAGTAGCCCAGATAATATTACATTAGTATTATGAGTTCCTGTGTGATTGTTGTATTATTTTTTATCTCATCATGTAATTTTCGTAGATAATTACATGATGGGGATAACCCCACAAAAGAAAAAAAAAAACAAAACTACGGTACAATAATAATAATAATAATAATAATAATTATCCTCCTTCTTTCCATCACTCTCCTTTGTACAGATTGAACACAATATACTGTTGCACATGCGGGCCTAGCAGAGAACTGACAGAGAGTTTTTCTTAAGGGACTAATTGCACCTACCTCATTTTTGAAACGTTTGTAATTATTCTTGTCATTCGCAAATATTAAGACGGATACTTTGAAGATACTATGGCAAAGAAAGATCCACATTTCGCACGACTGTTTGAATCTACACTAGAGGAGCACATTGAACCAGTAGCAACAAAAATTACAGGTGAGTGACCTTCAATATTGATTGTATATATTGATATGTGTGTGTACATGGTTTTGCGGAATCCACTGGCAAGAGTGTGATTGTACCCTTCGCACGTTGCAGTTGATACCACCTGGTGAATGAAGCCGGTTGCCATTGACTGTGTAACTATTAGTATTAGGCCCTGTCTCTTATACACATCTAGATGTGTATATCGCTGAAATCTATCACAGAGTGGACAGATTTTAAAATTCCTTTACTTTCCGTATAGATTCTTTGGCAGCGTTGCTAACCTGTAGATCCAAAAGAGTTGACACTATGAATAAATCTACTTGATGCATTCATACAGTACTTTGAACGATTTGATGCCAGCCATTAATGGCAAGGTGGGGGAGGGGGTGGAAGTGGAGATGAATGGGAAAAAGAAAAAGGGAGCCTTTGAAACTTCCGGCATTTTATAGAGTAAGAAAATTTGATTGATGTTAAGGACAGCATTCTTTAAAATTAACATTTATTACCATACCATGTTTTTAGAATAGGCCTATTTATCATCAACAAGTTTTTTTAACTTACTCGTAATCTTGAATGATAAAGCCACTTATATTTTGTACAGAATAACATTCTTATAAAATAATTAATTATCTTATTACCTACTTATGATAATGTTATATTCTTTTGAATAAGATGATTTAACAGTCATTCGTAATTGTTTTTCTTTCCACTCACTTTGAAAAGTGGAGTTTTAATTATATAAATGGTGAATAGTGCGGTGGGGCAATCGATGATGCCTCTCCCTCTTTGAAATGTAGGGGGCGTGTCCCCTTTCCCTCCCCCCCCCCGATCGACACCCATGCCTACATCGAATATCAGTGTTATTGCGTGATCATAAAGACGTATTGATCTCAACCAGGTTTGAAAAAAAAGTTCTACTAGTGCAAAACATTAATAGCATGTGTTAATATTGCTTCCATTAATTTGTTTACAGTCATTTAAGGGCCTTTATTCGAGGGAGGCGTTTACTGTATTCCAATTGAGGCTCTGGGGGGTGTTTATTATTCAAGGGGGCGTTTATTCGAATAAGTACGATTTACAAAATCTCAACTTGTAGGCCTAGCTACGCATACTCTGAATGATTTGAGAATGTACTCATAGGCCTACTAACGATTTGAGACTCGCTCTCACTCATACTGTACTGGGGGAGGGGGACGCCACTGTGTATTACAATCAATGACTTGAGGTTCTTACTTTTTTCTCATACCCCAAATATACTAAGTGCCTAATGGCGTTAGAATTTGTATTTAAACCCCGATGATGTGAGAATATAGAGGGCTTCTTCTATTCTGCTTTGCTGCTAAAGAGTTGGAATAATAATTATAAAAAAATAGGCCTACTGGAAGATCAAATATAGTTTTAGAATAAAAGAAAAATTACAACAATGTGACACACCCACACAGGCCACAGTAACTTTTATAGACCTAATATTCGGTGTCTTGCAAGTGATGTATGGCATGGTAGACTTAATATAATATTTAGATACATTACCAGTAACACATGCAATTGGTTTGTTTCCTAAGTTACAATAATGATAATGAAACCAAGTAGCTCATTGAATAAGACATGTGTTTCGGGAAGCTAGGCTAATGAGTTCAGACCACACGGCCCAGTAGGCGACGCCGGGTACTCAAGTGGCTTTACTGGCGAGTTGATATTACGAAGCTAGGGTGACGAGAACCATGTCACCTATTTAAAGGAAACAAACTCCTCTTGTTCAAACAACAACGAACTTAAGTTTTCTGACCTATATTTCGTAGCACTACTTTAGAAGAGGTCCTGTACTTTTTGTTCACACAATAATCCAGTCAATTTGATCACATATCCGTAGTTTTGGGCTAAAATATGGCTATTATTAGTATTTGTCAGTTTGGAAATATTTTAGATACGTTGCGAAAAAGTGGCAGCAATTAGCTTGATACAAATATTAAAAATAATTATTACACAATTGTAATTATAATATTAATAATGTTAATAATCATGAATGTAATGTAATAATAATAATTAGTAATAATTAATATTATTATTATTGATATTATTATTATCATTTATTATTATTGTTTATTTTAGTAGTAGAGTAGCAGTAGCAGTAATGTTATTATTAGGTAGGACACATCTTTACAAACTTTATTTTTCCTATCTTTATTAAATACCGCCGACTGGTATTAATTTCAAGTAAATCACGCTTTTTGTAAAAGATTATGGCAGCATAAAAAAATTCATCAATTTTAAAATTCCTTCATCCAAGTTTTTAATTCACTTTCACTTGAAATTTCCGAAACAAGGGGACCGCCTAGAGCCTCGGACGGTTCATGAGAGTTTCGTTGTTAATGTTCGTCCATAATTTTGCTTTTAGACCACAATATTATTTAGGGATTGGCAATCGCAATAACTTTGTTTGAATCGACCTCGTCATGGCGTCGGACGACGGAGGAGGGGGTCGATGGTCCATATTTCCTGGAAGGAGATTTCCCCTGACCTTTCCCCTCACATTAACGCCATAATGAGAGGATTAGCTTGCTACGATACTGAAAATAGATACAACTTTTTAAATGAAAAATAACCCTTTTAAAATAAAATAATTAATTTACCATATTAATTTGTAAAAGGCATGAATCTTTATTAATAAATGATACCATAAATTACAAAGTTGTTTTTACAACCGAATTATTATTTCTACAGTATTTTTAAATTAAATGTCTATAACTACAAGAGTACGCATGACCATGATCAATCGTTTATCATATATCACCCGTGTGTTATATTTTTAGAATTCGACAAATTACAGTAGGCCTACTACAAATTTAGGAAGTATGTGCAGATATAATATTGGCCTAGTGAGACCATCGAAACTGTTTTTTTTTTTTTAATGAATCCCTACGGTTATAACCAAGAATTATGTACTTTGTATTTTCAAAATTCAATGAATATTACACTCCACCCCTTTTATAAAAATATAGCTATTGCTTTCATGACTGTATAATATACTGTAGTACAGATTCTGTTACGCATGAAAAAGTTCGATTACACAACTGTTAGCGAGGCGGTGATTGGTCAATCTCAGTCTCCTCTGGGTTTACGTTGATGACCTTGAGTCGCAAATTAAAACAAAGAGTGGGCAGGCCATGAATCGTAATATAACGCTACTGCGCGGTAGATTCGGTTCACTTTGAATAGTCAGTCCACACCAGCCGGTACTTGGCTTCAACACTCGTTCTCCTATCCTCCTTCTTTCCATCACTCTCCTTTGTACAGATTGAACACAATATACTGTTGCACATGCGGGCCTAGCAGAGAACTGACAGAGAGTTTTTCTTAAGGGACTAATTGCACCTACCTCATTTTTGAAGCGTTTGTAATTATTCTTGTCATTCGCAAATATTAAGACGGATACTTTGAAGATACTATGGCAAAGAAAGATCCACATTTCGCACGACTGTTTGAATCTACACTAGAGGAGCACATTGAACCAGTAGCAACAAAAATTACAGGTGAGTGACCTTCAATATTGATTGTATATATTGATATGTGTGTGTACATGGTTTTGCGGAATCCACTGGCAAGAGTGTGATTGTACCCTTCGCACGTTGCAGTTGATACCACCTGGTGAATGAAGCCGGTTGCCATTGACTGTGTAACTATTAGTATTAGGCCTATCGGTAATACTAGGCCTATATTGACTTAAAGTTACCCAAAAGATAAACCTTGGTAGGATACAGATTATATGGCTTGTTCAGATTGTAGAGTCGATCCTTTGAGATTTGTACAGCATTTAATTTTTAAGTTTGTCTTTAATTATCCTCTCTCCTTTATTTTTTTGATCGGCAATTTTGAACAGTGGTACAATAGTGACTGGTGCAATAATAGTTCTTGAAGCTTTAACTACTTTACTGCTGTCTACAACACTATAAATATATTACAACAATTTTTTATTCTAACCTTAGCGATACAAACTTCAAATGCAAAAATATTGTAACAAACACAAGTTTACTGGCGTTATACACGGTGACCCCCACACACACCTCTCTCCCCTAGCTTTGACCATTCTCAGACCCACTTTTGCACTAACAACGCGCAGACTAAATTGCCAAACAAAAATGCTTAGAGGGCCAGATGTTGAAAATCCGGCCCTTCAGCCATGCCTGTTGCTGGCGTTAAAGGTCACTCTCAAGTTGTCCTCATCACAAACAATAATAATTGAAGGCTCATGCTGTCATATAGCATTCTCGTCCAACACTCTAAAAGTATTGCATACTGCGTTCCACTTGTCTCAGCACAGTCGATGCAATGATCCCCACGTTCGGCTACCAACACTGTTGACTGTTCTGACATCGATATCACCAGCCCTTTTAGGCCCAAAAAACACCGATTATCTATAAAGTCCTAAAAAATCACTTCTGAATTTCATACATGTTTCAATATCATCCCTGCCTTAAAAAACTCAAAGATATCATTAGGCTTAATTTAATTAAATATAATTAATAATAATAATACCGTATTAATTATTAATATGCTATGTATAGTTATGTTAATGCCATATTTGACCTATTTTCTGGTCATATTGTAATTTTTTCGGAAATTTCTAATTATTATGTAATTGTAGTATTTGTATGAAATACGGTAAAGTGTATATAAATTTTATTATTTGACCTATTAAAACTGTAAGCTAAAGCACATGTTAGTATGAGACAACTTACAATTTAAATGCTTCCTAGTGGAATAAAAAAGGAAACAACATTCATACTTGACTGATTGATGATATTACCGTTTCGTTATAGGCTAGGGCCTAGGCCTATCCAAAATGAACAATGTATGTATGTACGGCTATAATCTGGATCAGGATTAAGTAATGGTCTCCCAGCATACAGAGACCAATTTAGCCCGAACACAACATAATAAAGTGTAAAATATTATACTTTAAATTGTATAGAACCACACATTGATTATGTTAGCTGTCGTAACACATGCCTACTCATCAGAACTCCCACGCAACCATCTCTCATCATTAAGTTAATTGTGTTCATATAGTCTATATCGATATACAGCAACACCCATAAGAGACGAGCCTTCCATGCATCATCAGCTTTCCCTGGATTCAACAAGTCGGCTAGACTTTCTTTATTTTCGTTTTTTAACACAACAATAGTAATTAGTATGAAACAAATAATGCAATATGGTAGGATCTTACGAATATAATTTTATAGAAAAAGTTTGAAGTTAAGGGGAATGGTAAGGCCTAATAGGGTAAGGCGAATTTCAAAAGCAAATGGACACAAGCACACAAGACCAATTTAGACGAAGGCATAAAAATCAAACCGTAGGCCTAGTTAGATAAACCATGTTGGGTCGTTTGTCGCTGTCTGTGATCCCACAGCGAGTCATCAATCACTCTTTAGCACCGTTATCTTTCTGATTATTTTTATAGGGCCTGCCAAGATATATACATGAACACATGTCATTTGGCACGTGTTAGAATGCGTAAAATCTGGTAATATTACGGATGGTCTTGCATATGCCTAACCTACCTGAAAAATTTGGTTTCAAACTTCTTAACGGGGCTTCTTAATTACAAAAATGTATCATTTAAAAGTCTCACTAAGGTAATATGCTATAGGCCCATTATTTTGATCAATTAGGCCTAGTCCTACAGTAGGAATGGCTGTGGCATACTGTATTATGCCATGGAGAATTAGTTTAGTCTAAACTAATTCCTCCATGATCATGCTAAGATTGGCGCCGAAATCAATCCACCCTGTGTAGTCGCAGGTGTGAAAGTAGTGGCAGGGTTTCCTTCTACGGTGGCAGATTATGACCGTTGCATAATGTTTTTAAAACCCAATTTCTGATTAAATGGAAAGTTTTCCTTGACGAAATATATATGCTTATAAACTATTTGTACACTCATTTTTCTCAAATATTTTAGGTTTCGATTAGTCCTGTACATTCTACATAATGATAATGATACCTAATCTTAACAGTAATTATTGTAATAACAACAGTAAATAGTGTCATTCAGACTGTAGTAAACTTAACTGTAAAAGCGATAACAGTAAAATTAGTAGGCCTGGTAATAATAACAGATAAGGATAATTATAATGAAAATAGTAAGGCCTATTTTTAAGGATGCAATAATATTTCAACGATTGTAACAAAAAATCTACTAAAAGTAAAAATAAAACAATAATTTTTAATAATTACATAAAGGATAAAGATAGTAATATAAAAAATATAAGCATACAAATTAATGCACTGAGGAATATGGTATACATTACATTTTGCGCGTCAGCATGCATTTCAAAGTGTGAACAGATACCCTTGGACATGAGCCTAAGTTTTCTGTATTCTGTAATATCAAACTATTTTCCCATTCAAGAGTAGGATGCCGTGTTTGCCAGACATAGTTGCCAGGTACAAATATAACATTTGTCATCGAGAAACCGTTTGAGAAAAGTTTTCATAATATGTTACTTCCTCGAGTGAGTAAACTTCTAGTAATATCCGGTTAAAGTTTAATCACACGAATATCGACAGTTGAGAATTTGTATGCTACTAAGTACAAGCGCTCCATACTGGCGATAAACAGTTTTTACATATCCACGCGTATTGCGCATTTCAACAGTACCTCGCGCGTCTGGGGCCCCACACTGTCCACGCGTACTGCGCATTTCTACACTACCTGGCGCATCTGAACCACTTGTTCAATCACGATAAATGCAAAAATTATTATGAGAACCTGTATACTGTAATAAGGACAATGAAATAAGTAAGTATAAAGAACAAAGACTCTGATTGAAGCTCTGTTCCTCCATTTATGGTTTAATATTTCAATAGAGCCAAGCAATAATAAAATATCGTAATTACAAGCACCTGCTGGTAGCGATTTGCTCCTTCTTGAATGTGATCCTTCGGCTTAGCGAATAGAGGTGTGTGACAGTAGTGGTTCAAAGTACTGTGCAAGTTTATTTTGGGCCCTTTGAATGTTAGTTAATGACACGAACACTTGTATCCCAACCCAGCCTAACCCACCTACGCTGGAATCATGTCATTGCTCGATTAGGTTCACCAGGGTCTTAAACGATAGTGGTGGTATCGTCGCCAATGTTCGGAATGAAGTCACAGCTTCAGAAAAGAAATCCTATCAACACGCATGAGAACATTTTTAGGGAGATGCTGAAAGTGACGATCTCGTGAGTTTACGTCCTGTGTGTTTGGGGGTGGATGGGTGTGTGTGTGTGTAGTACCAGTAGTACGCGTGCAGACGCGTTAATGCAAAAGCAAGCAACGCTGGTTTTATACTGTACCTCGTAGCTTAACATTATTTGCATCATCCCGTATAAATTGCTCTAGTGTGAAACAAGGTTTTAACCAGGCCTACGCGCTCTATCGCAACCAAACATGACGGAGAGCTCATAACGTTCAGAATCAGGCTATAAAACATCTAGCATTGAGGCTCGGATTCATCTTCTAATTACACTGGCAAAATTGACCTTGTTTTGTGACCCTACTCTGGACACATTTCAGGCGTTATTGGGCTAAAATCCGTTCCTTAATTCCCAAAGCCTGAAAAGCGATTATAAAAGTTTTCCTCAAAAAACGTTTTCCTCAAAGGTTCATTGCCACAATGTCTGGGCATATGTCTGTTGGACGTCACATAATAATTTTTTTTGACCTGTACATATTGTAATATTATAAGCGCCGGGTAAGTTACAGTCCCACGTACCCTTAAGTTTACTATTTTAAGCGGGCTCGTATCTATAATATGGGAGGCTAATGAATGAAAAGCACGCTTTAATAATCACGAGAACATAGGACAACCGGGAATGTTATGTAATGTGCCTGCGATTAGTTTTGTATTTAGAGAGGTCCATGCTCTATAGAATACAACGAAATGTACCGGTAGGATTTGCCACGATTACACATTTTCAGCACAAGACGTACCACTAAGTATTATTTTTATCCTCTATTCCCCTTGCTGACTCCTCGAATTTTTTATCGTTCCAGTCCCTCTCACTCAACGCATTTCCTCTAACTAAAGCTCTATACATAACATTAAATCCGATTGTGGTTTTGGATATGGACTGAAGCCAAAGCATAGATAAGTCTGCGATTATATTTTTTCAATATCTCCTTCGGGTACCAGCGACCTCCTCTCTGATACGGCATTTATAATACGCGCTAGCCTAGTTTAGTCACTAGGGGTGAATTTCCTCTGCATTTTTTTTATCGGCTGAATCATGCTACAGCAAAATGCCTACAAGCATCATAGTTACATGCTTACGGCGTGAAATTTAAACATAAAGTAGATAATGATTGTGTTTAAACTGAGAGTTATCTGTCACACATGTAGTAATGACCACTTTGGTGAAATTTTCGATTCTACCAAGTATTGGTCTGTTATTGTAGTGGATCTTGGAGTGAGCTAATAGATTTTTTTTTAGGTCATGGTGCGATTGAAACCGATTGAACCATAGACTTGTATTAACTGTACAGT